GGCTTTTGGGGGGGGTCTCAGCAGTGATGGGAGGAGTCTCTTGTGGGGTGATATGGGGGGGGTCCTGGCTGTTGGGGGGGTCTCTTGGGAGTGCTGGGGGCCTCTCTTGGGGGGTCTCTCACTGTGGCAGCCTCTTTGGAGCTGGGGGTCCCTGGCTGGGGGCTGTGGGTGGGTGACACGTGGACCCCCCCCCCCGGGCAGGTGGCCAGCAGCCGGGCCGGGAAGATCTTCCCCGCCTGCCCCGAGAACGACGAGACGGACACGTCCAAGGTGGTGGAGATCCAGAACAAGCAGATGATCGAGTGGGCCCTGGGCGGCTTCCAGCCCTCGGGCCCCAAGGGGCTGGAGCCCCCCCGAAGGTGAGGGGGGGGGGCTGTGGGGTGAGGAACCCGCCCAGGGAGGGATACATCCCCGGGATGGGATGGGGTTGGGATCCCGCTGGTGGGACCCCCCTGACGGCCCCCCCGGCCCCGCAGAGGAGCGGAACCCCTACAAAGAAGTTTACACGGAGATGTGGGTGGAGCCCGAGGCCGCCGCCTACGCCCCGCCCCCGCCCGCCAAAAAACCCCGCAAAAGCACAACCCAGGAGAAGCCCAAGGTGAAGGAGATCATCGACGAGCGCACACGAGGTACGGACTGGGGGGGCTGCTGTGCCCACCCCCCTCTGCGGGGCTGTGTTCAGCGGGGGAAGGGGGCTGGGAGCTGCTCCTGGGGGTCCCCTCCCTTCACCCCCTGACCCCCCTCTCCCCCCAGAGCGGTTGGTGTATGAGGTCCGGCAGAAGTGCAGGAACATCGAGGGTGAGTGTGGGGCTGGGGTGGGTTGGGTTGAGGGTGCCTCCCTGCCTGGGCACCCCAGAGCAGAGCAGAGGGGGCTCGGAGAAAGGGGGGGGCCCAAGGGGTTGAGTGTGGACTTGTCCCAGCCCTCGGCCTGGCTGGCAGCAGGGACAGCAGCTGTGAGGTTGTGGTGGCCCACCCTGGGTGGTGGCAGGGACCCCAGGACACTGGGTGGTGGCAGGGACCCCAGGACACTGCCCAGGGCTGGGGCTGTTGGGGTGCAGGATGGGGAAAAGGGAGGACAATGGGAGCCATTCCTACTGTCCCCAGGGTTTGTTCCCAGCTCCAGTGTGGCCCTGACATGGGGGGTGGCACGTACAGGGGGTGACAGGGGGGTCGGGATCAGGATGCCCCCCACACCGGGCTGTCCCAGTGTGGGGGTGCTGGGGGTGACATCACCCCTCCTACCCCCCCCAGACATCTGCATCTCCTGCGGGAGCCTCAACGTGACCCTGGAGCACCCTCTGTTCATCGGGGGGATGTGCCAAAACTGCAAGGTACGGCGTGGTGCCAGGCCCCCCAGCCCCTGCCCGGGGGTCTTGTGGGGTGCCCAGCCTTGTCCTGGGGTCCGTGGGGTCCCTGGAGCCCCCAGGGCCGTGGTGACCCCCCGGCTGTCCCCAGAACTGCTTCCTGGAGTGCGCCTACCAGTACGATGACGACGGGTACCAGTCCTACTGCACCATCTGCTGCGGCGGCCGCGAGGTCCTCATGTGTGGGAACAACAACTGCTGCAGGTGCAGGGGGGCATTGGGGGTGCCACGGTCCTGGTGTGGAGCTGGAGAGGGTTCAGGGGTGCCACAGTCCTGGTGTGGAGCTGGAGAGGGTTCAGGGGTGCCACGGTCCTGGTTTGGAGCTGGGGAGGGTTCAGGGGTGCCACAGTCCTGGTGTGGAGCTGGAGAGGGTTCAGGGGTGCCACAGTCCTGGTTTGGAGCTGGGGAACTTTCACTGGTGCCCCATTTCTGTCAGGCACGAGGCCGGGGAGGTTTTGGTGGTGTCAGCCCTGGTGATGTCCCAGTCTCAGTAAGGGACTGGGGAGTTTCAGTGGTGCCACAGTCTTGGCGTGAGCACGGAGAGGTTTTGGTGGTGCCACAGACCTGGTGTGGAAATTCAGGGATACCGGTCCTGGTTTGGGGCTGGGATGCTTTGTGGTGTCCCAGTATGAGGGTGGGGAGGTTTTGGTGGTGCCACAGGCCTGCCACGATCTTTTGGTGATGCCAGTGCTGGTTTGGGACTGGGGTGTTTGGGTGATGCTGCAGTCCCACTGTGGGGTTGGAGAGGTTTCAGTGATGCCAAGGTTTTGCCATGGGGTTTTGGTGCTGCCAGTGCAGGTGTGGGGCTGGGAGGTTTCGGTGATGCCGTGGTCCCAGTGTGGGACTAGAGGGGAGTTTTGGCCATGCCCCAGTACCAGCACAGAGCTGGGAAGTTCTGGTGATGCCCCAGTCCTGGCATGGGGTTGAGGAGGTGTTGGTGGTGCCCTGGTCCTGCTGTGTGGGGTTGAGGGAAGTTTTGGTGATGCCCCAGTCCTGGCATGGGATTTGGGTGATGCCAGATCTGGTGTGGGACTGGCAGATTTTGGTGATGTCGCAGTCTTGGCATAGAGACGGGGAGGTTTCAGTTTTGGTGGTCCTGCTGTGGGGTTTTGGGGGATGCCAGACCAGGTGTGGGACTGGGGAGGTTTTGGTGGTGCCTCAGCCCTGGTTGTGGGGTTTTGGTGATGCCAGTCCAGCCACGGGAATTGGGTGACGCCAGTCCCGGTTTGGGGCTGGGGAGGTTCTGTTGGTGCCCCGGTCCTGGCACGAGGCTGGGGAATGTTTGGTGGTGCCCTGGCCCTGCCGTAGGGCCGGGAGAAGCTCTGGAGGTCCCAGCACGGAGCTGTGAAGTGCTGGTGATGCCCCAGTCCCGCAGTGGGGTTTCGGTGATGGATACCAGTCCTGGGTAGATTGTGGTGGTGCCACCGCCCCGGCACGAGCCCCACCACTGACCCCGGCCCCCCCCGTGCCAGGTGCTTCTGCGTGGAGTGCGTGGACCTGCTGGTGGGCCCGGGGGCGGCGCAGGCGGCCATCAAGGAGGACCCCTGGAACTGCTACATGTGCGGCCATAAGGGGGTCTACGGGCTGCTGCGGCGGCGGGAGGACTGGCCCTCGCGCCTCCAGATGTTCTTCGCCAACAACCACGACCAGGAGTTTGTGAGTGACTTCCCCCAGCTCCCCCCTCCTCCCCGCTGCCCCCCAGCCCCCCTGATTCCCCCCTCTGTGGCTCTCAGGACCCTCCGAAGGTGTACCCGCCCGTGCCAGCCGAGAAGAGGAAGCCCATCCGGGTGCTCTCGCTCTTCGACGGCATCGCCACAGGTGGGTGGGGGGTCCCCGGCCTGGTGGAGCCTCCCCGGGGTGTGTTTGGGGTTGGGGGACGGGGGGAGCGGCCTGCCTGCACCCCACAGCCAGCCAGCCATCTGTGGGACGCCCCGGGTCCCACACCTGTGGGGATCCAGGGGAAGGGGGATGGCCCGGGGATGGTGGGATGGGTGGGCTCTGTCATCCATCACCCACCCCTTGCTGCTCCCCCCAGGGCTGCTGGTGCTGAAGGACCTGGGCATCCAGGTGGACAGGTACATCGCCTCCGAGGTGTGCGAGGACTCCATCACCGTGGGCATGGTGAGGCACCAGGGCAAGATCATGTACGTCGGGGACGTCCGCAACGTCACCCAGAAACACGTACGTCCCGTCCCGACCCCCCGGGACCCCCCCAGGCGCCCCTGTCCCCACGTGGGGCCGGTCCCTCGTCCTCAGGGACCTGCAGCTCCCTCCTGAGGGGCAGCACCAACCTCTGCTCTCAGTGACCCAGTGGCAGGGCTTGAGGGAAGGGCTGGAGCTGTGCCAGGGCAGGGGGCAGGTTGGATCTCGGGAGAAAGGTTCTTTCCCCCAGAGGGTGTCTGGGCACTGAAAGGGCTCCCCAGGGCAGTGGGCACAGCAGCAAAGCTCAGGGACAACGCTCTGAGGGACGGGGTGGGGTTGTTGGCGTGTCTGTGCAGGGCCAGGACTTGGACTGAGGATCCTTGTGAGTCCCTTCCCGCTCAGGACATTCCACGATTCCCTGATCCCGCCGGGAGCTCGGCCACCATCACCCCCTGTGCCCCCCAGGCCATGGCAGTGCCCGGCTCACCGGGGGTCTCCTCTCCCTCTTTGCAGATACAGGAGTGGGGCCCCTTCGACCTGGTGATCGGGGGGAGCCCCTGCAACGACCTCTCCATCGTCAACCCGGCCAGGAAGGGGCTCTACGGTAGGGACGTGTCCACGGGGCTGGGGCTGGACCCCACTGCCGGCCCCCCCAGGGCTGGCACGGGCCCCCCACCCTGACCCTGGCCCCCTCCTCTCTCCCCTCAGAGGGCACCGGGCGCCTCTTCTTCGAGTTCTACCGCCTGCTCCACGAAGCCCGGCCCAAGGAGGGCGACGACCGGCCCTTCTTCTGGCTCTTTGAGAACGTGGTGGCCATGGGGGTGAGCGACAAGAGGGACATCTCGCGCTTCCTGGAGGTCAGTGCATGCCCGGGGTCACCCCCCGTCCGGCCCCTGGGCCCCCCCCGGGGTCCTGTCCTCACCATGAGGGGCTGCTGAGCCCCCCTGACCTCCCTCTCCCCTTCCTCCAGTCCAACCCCGTCATGATTGATGCCAAAGAAGTGTCTGCAGCGCACCGGGCACGGTACTTCTGGGGGAACCTGCCCGGCATGAACAGGTTGGTGAGAGCCCCCCCCCAAAGCTGAGCCCTTGGGAGGGTGGGCAGGCTGCACCTCTGGGTCCTCCCCCCACCCCTGACACGTGGCCCTGGGGGTCCCCTGACCCCGGTCAGTGCTGGGAGAGCAGGGATGGCACACCCCAAAAATCCAGCGTGGTGCCCCCTTGGAGGGGACTGGTCGTGTCCCTCGTGCTGGAGGGCTGGCACTGAGCTGCCCTTTGTGTCCCTCCCAGATGGTGGCTGTGGTGGCCCACGGCTGGTGGCCACAGACCGGCCCCCGTGGGAATCAGCTGCTTCTTGCCATTGCCTGTCACAGCCTCCCCCCCAAAACAGCAGTGGCCACCCTGTGCCCCCCACAAACCCCGTCTGGAGACCTGCCCTGCACCCCCAGGGGAACAGTCTGGGGACACTGGTACCCTGTGCCCACCATCTCTCCCCCCTCAGGCCACTCGCCTCCACCGTCAACGATAAGCTGGAGCTGCAGGAGTGCCTGGAGCACGGCAGGATAGCAAAGGTCAGCCCGGGGTGGGCAATGGGGGGGTGGGGGCAGTGGTCCCTGGCGGTCCCGGGCTCCTGGGGGTGCAGGGGGGGATCCCGTGGGGGTGGAGGAGGGACACAGTGGTGGCACTGCAGAGTGGTGGGAGTCGCCTGCTTGTGAGCGCCCAGTCAGTGGGTCGGGGGGCTCCGTCCCACCTCTGTCAGGTGTGATGAGCCTGTGCCTGTGGGTGTTGGGGGGGGGCTCCAGCCTGTCAGGGGGCTTCATCCCACCCCCAACGTGACCAGCCCGTGCCTCTTGCAGTTCAGCAAAGTGCGAACCATCACCACCCGCTCCAACTCCATCAAGCAGGGCAAGGACCAGCACTTCCCCGTGTTCATGAACGAGAAGGAGGACATCCTGTGGTGCACGGAGATGGAGAGGTACCGGGGGCTCCGGGGGGGGGCTCTGGGGCCACAGCACCATGTCCTACCAGCAGCCCTGACCCCTCCTGTCCCCTCCCCTGTCCCGCAGGGTCTTCGGCTTCCCAGTGCACTACACGGACGTGTCCAACATGAGCCGCCTGGCCCGGCAGAGACTGCTCGGCAGGTCCTGGAGCGTGCCGGTGATCCGCCACCTCTTCGCGCCCCTGAAGGAATACTTTGCCTGCGTTTAGAGACGGGCAGGAACTGGTGACACACGGAGCGAGTCGGAAACAAACCCATCCACGCCAAGAGAAGTGAACACACGGAATGAGAGAAGAGTCAGCACCCAGAAGAGAGACGGGATTTCGCAGCCCCCGACGGGAACCCAGCACGCGTCTCCCCGAGCGAAAGGGGTCGGTGTCCTCTCCTGAATTTCCAAGGGTCAGCTTTAGCCTATCGGAAAAAAAAAAACAAACAAACAAAAACCACAAAAAAGCGAAACAACAAACGACGAAAACAAAAAAAAAGCCGAAAAGAAACGAAAACGAAACGGAAAAAAAAAAAGAGAAAAAAAAAAGAAGAAGAAGAAGAAAAAAGAAAAAAAAGAAACAAAAACCAAAACCGTTTTTTTTTTGGGTAACCTTTTAATTTTCCGCTCTTTTCTGGCTGGGTTTTCCTGTCGGTTTGGTTTCCGCTTCTCGGAGCAGCAGCAGCAGCAGCGGCGGCGGGCGAGACGAGGACCCGCCGTCGCCAGCGCCGCTCTCGGAGGGGGGGGAAACGGCAGCGGGGGAAAGCCCGGCCCGGGAGGGGAGGCGGAGGCGAAGGAGACCCCGCTCTGTCTGCTCCGAGAGACCCGCTCCGTCCGCGCCCAGCGCCCGCCGGCCCCGGCCCCGGCAGCGCCCGGCGGCTCCAGCGCCCGGCGGCTCCAGCGCCTCGCTCTGTTCCACCAGCACCGCTCTCCGGTGACATGGAGCCAACCCGCCCGGCAGGGAGGCCGGGAACACAACACACCACACAACACACCTTTTCTACAGTATTTTTGGGTGCCTACCACATGGAAACCTTGAAGAGAGCAGATCTTAGAAGCCGCTGTTACCTCTTGTTTACAGTTTATATATATATGATAGATATGAGATATAGATATATATATATATAAAAGGTACTGTTACTACTGTACAACCTGACTTCATAATGGTGCTTTACACACAGCGGGGTGAGTCGAGACATCAGCTTCCACGTTGCCTTACGTGCCGGGCCTTTCCGAGCGAGCGGCAGGGCCGGGGCGGCCGGGCGGAAGCGTCTCCATCCCGAGTCATGCAATAACCTTTTTCAGTCCCAAACGGAAGCGCCTCGGCGGTGCCCACCCCCCCCCCGGCCCCGCCGGCGCCGCCGCCCCGCGCCCCCACAGCGTACTGGTGCTCTTCAGCGTACGTGGCGTCCGGCAGAGCCGGGGCCGGGTGTCCCCCGGCGGCAGCGGGGAGGGGGGTCCTGCCCCCCTGGCCCTGCCCCATCCCGCGGGGGCTGCCCACGGGGACGCCGGCGGGGCAGGGGGGGACAGAGCGGTGTGCCGGTGCTGGGGCGCGGCCGGGGCGCTTCTGGCATGGCACGGGGATGGCTGCGGGCCCCGGACCCACCCTGGTGCTACATCCGCGGGGCCGGGCTGGCGGCAGGAGGGGCGATGCCCCGGCGGTGCCACCGCGGGCGCCGGGGCATCGCTCCTCTGCCCCACGCGCGGTTCGGAGCGAGCGCGTCTTTCCCCCCCCCCGGTGCCCCCGTGGGGCGGCCCCGTGCCCCGCTTGGGGGGTGACGGGTGCCCGTTGGACGTGGCGGTGGCAGTGTCGGTGCCGGTGGCAGTGTCGGTGGTGCCGGGAGCCGTGGTGTGAGCGGGCAGGGCGCTGGGCAGGTGCTGGCAGGTGCAGTGCGGTGGATGGTGCTACTGGTCTGGCAGCTGTGGTGCCGTGGGGGTCTGGCCCCCGGTGGGGCAGGGACTGGTGCTACGGCGTGGGGAGGCTCCCCGGGGGGGTGAGTCTCGGCCCGTCGCCGTCTCTTCTCTAACTGTGAAAGGTGCGGGGCCGCGGCGCTCGCTGCCGGGTGCTGGCTATGGCAGCGAGCTGTGCCCGCGGCCCGGGGTGCTCAGAGGTGCTGGGACCGACGGCGGCGAGGCGGGCGGGGGGCCGGCCCTGGGGGGCCCCCCCAACCTCCCCACCCCGCCTGGTGCTACCGGGGGCCCGGGGGCCCCTCTGTGGGTGCGGCGGGCGCGGGGAGCTGAGCCGGCGCGGGGCCCGGCTTTGCCAGAGGGTGTGAGGGCGACGGGACGGCCCCGGGCTCTGAGCCGGGCTCTGGGCTGAGGCTCGGGCTCCCGGGGCCGGATCCCTGCAGTGCCTGGGGTGGGTGGCACAGACCCACTGCACCGGGCACAGGTCCCGCCCGGTGCGGTGTGAGCCTGGCACGGCCCCACGGCCCCGTTTGTGGGGCTGCCGTGGCCCTGCGTGGGGCACAGCGGGCACTGCAGTGGGTTCTGCGTGGCCCTGCAGCACCACGGGAGTCTTGCTCGGCCCTGCAGCGCTGCTTGCAGGTCCCGCACGGCTCCGTGGCACTGGCTGTGGGTCCTGCCCGGCCCCACGGCCCCAGGTGCGAGTGCTGCACGGCCCTGCAGTGCTGTTTGCAGGCTCTGCAGTGCTGTTTGCAGGTCCTGCAGTGCTGTTTGCAGGTTGCAGGTCCTGCAGTGCTGTTTGCAGGTTGCAGGTCCTGCAGTGCTGTTTGCAGGTCCTGCACGGCCCCGCAGCATCGTCTGCGGGTCCTGCACGGCCCTGTGGCACTGGGTGCTGATCCTGCATGGCCTTGAGGTGCTGGGTGCTGATCCTGCGCGGCCTTGAGGTGCTGGGTGCCGGTCCTGCACGGCCCTGCGACGTTGTTGGCAGGTCCTGCACGGGCCCTGCGGCACCGGGTGCTGGTCCTGTGTGACCCCACAGCTCTGGGTGCTGGTCCTTTGCGGCCCCGCGGCTCCGGGTGCCGGTGCTGCACCGTCCCGCGGTGCCGCCGGTGGGTTCTGGCATGGCCACGTGCCGGGTTTGGGGGTCCCGGCGGACCCCCCGGCCCGGCCCCACGGCGCTCCCTGGGACCCTCCTGGCCCTGCTGCACCTTTGGGGGGGTGCCGGGTCCCGGTGGGTGCCGCGGCGAGGGGCCGGCGCGGCGTTGGCACGTCCCAGGCGGGCGGGAAGCGGGTTCCCGCTGGGAACGGGTGCCGGCGGCGGTGGGGACCCGGTGGGGACCGTGGGGATGCCTGGGGCAAAAGGCGTTCAGTTTTTAACGTACCCGACTCACGTCTTTTTTTAAAAAAAAAACAACCAGACAAAAAATTCTGTTGCACAGCCCTAGATGAAAACTCAAAAAAAAAAAAAAAACAACACAGAAAGGCCTAAATTCCTTAAGATCCGCCGAGGGAGTGGGGACAAACACGGTGCTAAAACATTTTATTAAAAATATATATTGTTAAATTAAGTCTGCTGTCTGGACAATGACTGTTTTGTTTCTCGTAGTGGAGTTTCAAAGAGCACTATTATTTTACTCTTATATATTATTATTAAAAAAAAAAAAACAAAAAAGAAAAAGGCATTTTAACTTTGTACTTGAAAACTAAACGAGAGATTTCATGTGTTTTAGCCTAGACATTGAAGTAGCTGACGCTTTAACTATTTGTGGGAATCATGTACTCATCAATCCCAAGGAATTACGCGCGTAGAGCTGGTACCCTCCTTCCTCCCTTTGATTTGGCTCCGCCGCCACATTCCCGGCGCCGCCGCGGCCGCCCCGGCTGCTCTCCCTCCTCCCCAGCCCGAAACCCACCCACCCACCCCCCCCAGGTTTATTTCCTCTTCCTCCCTCTCGGTTCGTTGCCCCCGTTTTTTTGTTGGTTTGTTTTTTTAGGGTCGCTTCTCTATTTATTGCCGCTGAACTGTGCATTTCACGGCCGGAGGTGCCGCGGGCGCCCGGCGCTGTTGTATCTGTGTGAGTATTGCTCGTGACATAGCTGTTCTGAACTAATAAAGGTCAATGCGTGCAGCAGATGTAGAAAGTCTGTCCGTCCCGCTTCCATCCCATCCTCCTTTTCTTTTTTTCTTTGGTGCCCAGAAGAGTATAATACAGACAAGCTCCTTTCTAATGTACTTGTGCTGGAGAACACTTGAATAAATGTCCTGTTTTGTGCAAAAAAAAAAAAAGAGAAAAAAAGAGGAAAAAAAAAAGAGGAAAAAAAAAAAAACTCCTTTACGTGTGGTCGTGTGGTCTGTGAGTGGCGGGGTGGGGGGATCCTGGGGTGGGGGGATCCTGGGGTGGGAGGGATCCCAGCAGTGGTGGTGGGATCCAGATGATGGTGGGATCCAGGTGACTGTGGGGTCCTGGTGGGCAGTGGGGTCCCAGTGGTGGTGGGGTCCTGGTGGGCAGTGGGGTCCCAGTGGTGGTGGGATCCCAGCACTATTGCCATGACCCTGGAGAGCAGTGGGAAGCCCAGGTGATGGTGTGGCCCCAGCAGATGATGGGTCCCAAGGGGTGGTAGGATCCCAGAAGGGGTGGTCCCAGTGGGCAGGGGGCCACTAGTCCAGGTGGTGGGCTCCCAAAGGGGGTGGGGTTCAGGCAATGGTGGGGTCCCAGCACTGGTGCTTGGATCCTGGTGAGCGTGGTCCTAATGGGTGGTAGGATCCCAGCACAAGTAGTGGGGTCCCAGTGCTCGTGGTGGGGTCCCAGAGGACAGAGGGGTCCCAGCGGGTGGGAGGATCCCCACACCAGTGGTGGGATCCAGATGGTGGTGGGGCCCTGGCAGGTGGTGGGATCCAGGTGACTGCAGGGTCCTGGAGGGCAGTGGGGTCCCAGTGGGTGGTGGGATCCAGGCAATGGTGCAGTTCCAGTGGGAACTGGGGTCCTGGCAGATGAGGGGGTCCCGGTGGGCACTCAGGTCTCAGCAGGTGGTGGGGTCCCCCCAGGGGACGGTGGAGTGTGGGTGAGCAGTGGGGTTCTAGCAGCTGGTGGGGTTCCAGCCCAGAGATGATGAGGTCCTGATGGGGTCTCGGGGCAGTGGAGTCCCACTCCTGAGCCCAGCTCCCCGGGGCACTGGGGGCTTTGCTCGTGCAGCCCCGAGCTGGGGTGTGGTGCTGCACCTGATGGGGGGCAACCCCTGGGGTCAGTCCAGGCTGGGGATGAGCGGATGGAGAGCAGCCCTGAGGAGAAGGACTTGGGGTGCTGGTGAGCGAGAGGCTCGATCTGACCCGTCCCAAAAACCCCCTCGTGCCCTGGGCTGATCCCACAGCGTGGGCAGTAGAGGAGGGGGGATCTGCCCCTCTGCCCCCTCAGCTGAGACCCCCCCTGCAGAGCTGCCTCCAGCCCTGGGGTCTGTCAGGATTAAATGGCACAGTTCTGTTGTCCGGGCAATGGGAAGATGAATTTGGTGATCTCAGGTCTAGAAGGAGGTTAACAAAGCCTGGGGAGAAGGATGTGTCTCTGAGAGTGGATACAAAGAACACAGAATTTATGGCCACAAGGACATTTGGCAGAACC